GGGGGGGCCGGGGCAACGTGTCATTACTCCCCGGAGTCAGAACATGAGCCTACGGAAGGGTGCGCGTGGAAACCAGAAGGATGATTTCACTCCTGGAAGAAGTAATCGTCTTTCCTAGTGTGTCTGGTGCTGGTTGTCTGTCATTTTTTGTTTGTTAGTTTTCTAAGTCAATTGGTTGTGTTTTTGGAAAGCTAAAATATAGAAATGGACGTCCTCTGACAAGTTAGAGGCTGCACATGGCTTTCTATGACTGAGACTCTGAGTGCATGGGTAACAATGCCTTTATTTTTTATTATGTTTTAAGTGGAGGTACTGGGGATTGAACCCAGGACCTTGGCTGTGCTAAGTATGCGTTCTACAGGTGAGCTATACACCCCCCCTCCTTGTGATGCCTGTAAACCATGACCATGAAGCATGCCCCAGGATAGCCAGTGGCCCAGGAGGTGATCCTGATGCTTCGGCTGCAGGCAGCCGAGCTTGCTGTCAGCTAGGCGCAGATGCCAGGCAGTGGCGATCTTCCCAGGCTGTTTGGATGTTTCCTTCTCCAACCAGTGGTAGTGCAGCATGGTATGTAGTTACAGTTTGGATGTCAAACTGCCTGAAAAAAACAGTGAATGTGATGGTGTGATGGCAAAGTCCAGGGAGGAAGGAAAGGGGCCGTGGGATGGTGTGATCTGATGGGGGTCAGCCGTCGAAACCTTACGAAACCTTCCTCCTGGGACCAGGCCTTGGACACGCAGCCCCCGCTGTGCTGCTGGTGGACGTCAGCTGGTTCTAGCATGCCCTGAGACCCAGTTTGAAAATAAAAAAGACTGTAATGTCCCACAGAACCCAGAACAGGAATGCAGCTGGGCCTCGGGAGGCAGGGAGGTTCCAGGAACACTAGGCCCGGGCTCCTAGACTTACGTTCTCCTTGCACAACTGCCGCCCTTTCCTGCTTGCAGGGCGTTGGCTACCTCCAGCCTCTGCTTCACATGGGGCGGTCCTCGCCTCAGGGGGCGTCGTCTCTGTTTCCCCACCTCCGAGTGGAGTGACTCTAAGCCTGCCTGACAGTGTGGGGCTCCTTGTCTGAGCAGGCACATGGAGTCCGGGGCGTGGGGGCCAGGGCGGCTCGGCATCCAGGGGTTTCTGTACTTGGCGGCACAGGGTTGAGCAGATCCTGCTGACAGATCACTCTTCTGAACTTCCTGTTTCTGATCACGTCTGACACGTTGTGGGATATCTCAGCACCGTGCGGCACCTGTGCGATTGTCGATACATACGCTCCGACCAGAGGGCGCACACACGCCTCTGCCGTCAGGCACGTGCGGGAGGCTCGTGCTTCACGGGGTGTCCACATCCGTATAGGATGTCTCCCCACAGCTCCAGAATGTTCAGTGATTCATGCAAGGGACACTTCCTGTCTTGAGAAGCATACACTATGCATTTTCTTTCCTGATCCTAAAATAAACTTCTTAAAGGGATGTACACCCACAGATCTTGAAATACCCACAGACAGAATTTCACGGTGTTTGTACACGAAGTTCAAATGGGTACTGATACCGCGGTGTCAGCGTGAAGAGGAGGGTGGCCAGGACGGTGGGCTTTTTATCAACCTATCTGCATCTGTTTGCATAAAATTAAGTTCTGGTATAAAAATTAACCAAAGTTGTTCATTTATAGGAAACAACTGCCTGTTATTTCACTTTTAGATTTCTTAACTCTGAATTTTTTTCCTCCCTAGCTTTTTTTTTTTTTGGAAAGAATTCTATTTTTATTTTGTGTGTATTCTAGTTAAGTTAAATTATCTGTACTAACGTGAAATAAATCTTACATTTTGTTCAAGCTTTTTAAAAATTGTAAATTATTAGGTTAATGCAGCATACATTTGCATAATACAAGCATTTTTATGACTGTGAAACCCTTACCAAGTTCTTTTCTTTGCTTCAATCTTTTTCTTTTTTGAGCTATACTTGACGTATGACGTTGTATAGTTTCAGGAGCACAGCATAATGATTTGGTATTTGTGTACGTCATGACATGAGCGCCACGGTAAGTCTAGTTAGCGTCCGTCACTGCGCATAGTTACAGATTTTTTTCTTGTGACAGGATCTTTTAAGGTCTGCTCTCTTAAAACTGGTAAATGTACAATGAGTCTTGTTAACTGTGGTCACATGCTGTACATTCCGTCCCCAGGACTTCTTTATCTTCTAACTGGAAGTTTGTACCTTTTGACCCCCTCCACCATTTTGCTTTTGAGGGTCCTTCTGGTCCCGCACGCTGAGGTTCTGTGAGGTTCTGTCGACTTCGTAGGACTGAGAATCGTTCAGTGTTGAGGAGAGAACGTCTTGGGAGATGGAGGCCTGGAGTTGTCCTGACCCCCTTTCTGCGAGCTGTACTGGGAATTGTATCAGGCCTCAAGATCTCCGTCTTTACAATGGGAACAGCAGCCCCCCAAGGTCACCGTGAAGACCAGAGGCAGTAATGACCGTGAGCGTGTCCTGTGAGCCATAGAGCCTTTAGACCCCGGGTTGAGGTAGAGAAAGGCCATTGCTTTCCTTCCTCACGGACTTCTGATAAAGGCCGTGTTCTTCCTAGCACATCACCATCAGGGGATTGTGATGCCAGGGGAATCCTGCGGGGGGCCTGAGCCGTTGCACCCCAGGATGGGGGCCTGCTGCCCCTGGTCACCGCTGCGCCTTGGGGTCACGAGGAGGAAACCCCAGCTCCCCGGGCCGTTGGGACCTTGAGGCCTGGCCCTGTATCTTGTTCCTGTGTGTGTCTGTGTGTTTACAGGAGAGGATGCATCCCTTTGAATCTCCAGTCCCGAACACAGCGCTGGCGGTGTCTCGGGCACAAGGAAGTGTTGGTGAGCGGAAGGGAAGCGTGTGGTACCCGTGTGCATCCCCGGGCTCGTCACGGGATGGGGAGCCCAGCTGGTGCTTGTCGGGAGGGGGTAGGTACAGGATGAGGTCAAGAGCTGGAGCATCTGAGGCACAGACCGGGGTCACCTGCTGGCCCCCTGGGGCCGTTTTCCTGCTGTGAGGGGTACTCATAGCTTGCCTTTCAGAGGCCTGTGTGGAAGGTTAAATAAAATGACACAAGTTAGCATGGAGTCTGACTCAACGAGGCGTCAGCCCCCACCGTCACCGTCCTGCGAGTACACGATCGGTGGTGCTACTAGCTCGCTGACCATTGAGATTCAGAACCTGGACGCCCAGAAGCCCTGTTGGCCCTGAGGTCCTCCCTGCTCTTTGCTTCTCCCCGAGTCACCGCTTTTGTTGCCATTTCGACTCAACTGGGCACCTGCAGTTACGTTTTAGTCCAAGTTCACTTCCGTGCCCTTGCCCTCACCCCTGTCGGCAGGTGCCGCCCCTCTCGGGTGAGGTTTCAGAACTTTCCACGCTGGAGGGGAGGCAGGTGCTTTTCAGACCAGAGCTGTGCCTTGGCATTAATGATGTGAGGTCGGCTCAGCATCCAGCCAGCGTTGGAGAGCAGACCTGCTGGCGCTTGCTTGCTTCCTCGGTGTCCTTCCGCTGGCCTCTGGCTGGGGGGAAGTTGAGGACACTGTCCGGGGGTCAGAGCTATTTCCCTGGTGCTTCTGCTGATTGTCGGCAGTGCCCCCTTCACGCCGTTCCTGGGGAATGCGTCCACATGAGTCTGTCTTCGCCTCAAGTCCAGAAGCCACATCTATTTTCTCTCCTTTGGACAATGAAGGAATGAGTGTGCCTCACCTTTGACCCCAAGGTTGGGTGATGGGAGCCAGCAGGGGCGTCTGCTGGGCTCTGCTCGGGGCTGCGCCGTGGGGGCTTCTGGCAGCTGTGATGCTGGCAGCCTGTGTGTCCTGCTCAGGTCTCTTAAACGACGTGTGATGCTTTAGCATTTACTTCCAAAGGAAGGGCCGCAGTAATTTCCCTCGAGTTGGAAACTCACTGCTGACTTTTATTTGGGTTTTGTAAAGTCTCCGAAACACTTGCAGAAGTGCTGGCTGGCCGTGGGAACTAAACTGTGAGAAAGTCACACCAGCATGATCGTTTCGGGGACAGTTGCTCTCACGCCCGGTGGGCCCAGCCTTTCCCGCCAATACCCTTCCCCCAGTCCTGCAAGCTCCTTTCCTGACACCAGTGTGGGAATCAAGTCTAGGGCTGGGTACCGCTGACTGTCATACACCAGGACGGTCCTGGCGGGTCTTGGGTCAGAAGCTCCTGACCTACTGGGGACAGCCACAGAGTCAGGAAGGTGGGGAAGTTGTGAGCAGCCTGGTATCCCCGGCTTGTGAATGATGTGAAGGGGTGTGATTATTTGCTCGGGTTTACAGTTGACAGGGGTGCAGGCACATCCATATAACCTAGTGTCTTGACTGAGGATCACAGCAGTCAGCTGTCTGCATCACACAGGATCTCGGCTGAGGGTCAGCAAAGCGTTGAGCGTTCATTCATTTGAGCGAGTGGGCTGAGGACACCGACTTTCATGCTTGTCGGAGTCAGGATGTACAGACAGTTCCTTTTGTCCACCGGGCAGAACTGAGCACAATCACCAACCAAGCTCTTGATGCAGAGTCTCAGCTCTGACCCAGGAGTCTCTGGCCGCCACCATCTGTGAAAATGCCTGGCACATTGTAGGTGCTCAGTAGAAATGCAGCCGATGAGACAGCAGCCTCCGAAGTGCCCGTTTCCTGTTTCAGTTTCCTGCTGCCTTTCAAGTTCCATACCCGGGGGATCTCCTTCGTTCCCATTGCCCTCTGGACGAAGTCCAGACTCCAAAGGCTGGTGAGAAGAGAAAGCAGAGGGCAGTGTCCGCCATCCGAGTCCAGAGCTCGGCGAGTCCACACCCCACCTTTCCCTTGAATGGCGGGTTTATGACGTGGCTGTGCCGTCAGGCACCAAGGAGGGGAAGGCACCCTGAATGACCTTTGGATGCATGGCCCGGATGTGTCTGTCACTAGGACTGTGTTGTCTTCAGGACCCCCTTGGTGGAGGGCTCGGGGCTTGGTGAGAAAGGGGAGCATCAGCACGGTGGTCCCAGACAGACATTTGCAGGGGTGTTAGGGCAGAAAACTGGGGGACGGGTGTTTGCCTCGCCTTTCATCTGAGGCTTTGCTTCTACACATCTCCTCCACAGAGATTCGGGATGTTAATGAGCGGTTCTTTAGAATGGTCTCCAGAGGTGGGTTCATAGGATTATCTGAAGCTGAGAGACGGGGAAACATGCCTGGGCTGTGTCCTCCACACTTCCTTTCTCCCGGCATCTCGCAGCCAAGCATCCGCGGGTCACAGGCGCCAGGCACTCCGAGTGTGTGGGGGGAGGAGGTGCGGTAGGAGGACCCCTGGCGCTGGAGTCCCTGAGACCCCTGTGTGGGAAAACGACTCCAAACGAGGGAGGATGTTCCCAGCGAGAGGAGATGGTGCTTAATACAAGGGCACAGGGAGCTGGGGAGCGCTGCAGTGTCTGTAATGGAGATCTTGAGAGCACGCTCTACACCATGGGTCAGTTTCTGGTGCACAGCATCGTGTTCCAGTCATACACATACATATATTCGTTTTCATACTCTTTCTCATTATCAGTTACTACAAGATATCGAATATAGTTCCCTGTGGTATTGTAACTGAGTGTTTGAGTATACTTCAAAAAATTGTGTAAAAATAAAAAAGTATTCTAAAGAAAGGAAAAATTAAGGGGGAAAAAAAGCTCGTTCTGAACTCCCCAGTCCTCTCCTTTCTGCTTGTGGAAGCTGTGGCGTCTCCCCCGAGCTTCACGCCTGAGATGAGTTCCTGCACCCGCAGTCGCTTCACCTGCTGGCTTCAGGTCTGTCCTCGCTGCTGACATCTTTCTGACTTGGTTTTGTCATTTAAAGTCAGGTAGTATCTTTCCTTTCCCGCGGCTCCAGGAGGAGTATTCAGAATTGCTGCTCTCAGAGCAGAGCCTTGTAAGTCCTGTACAACTTTTTTTTTTAATCGAAATTTAGTTGATTTACAGTGTTGTCTTCGTTTCTGATATACAGCATTGTGATTCAGTTACACATATATGTATTCTTTCTCATATACTTTTTCACTATAGGCTGTTACAAGGTGTTGAATGTAGTTCGCTGTGCTACCACAGGTCCTTGTTGTTTATGTATTTTGTATGTAGTGATTTGTATCTGCTAATCCCAAACTCCTAATTTATCCCTCCCCTCCCTCTCCTCCCTGGTAACCATAAGTTTGTTTCTAGGTCTGTGAGTCTGTTTCTGTTGTGTAAATAAGTTCATTTTAGATTCCACATATAAGTGATAGCATATGGTGTTTGCCTTTCTCTGTCTGACTTACTTCACTTAGTATGATCATCTCCAGGTCCATCCATTTGGCTGCAAATGGCATTAGTCCTTTACGGCTTTGCCCTCATCCTCCATCAGGGGCCAACCTCTCATGCTCCTGCCCTGCCCTCAACTTTAACTTCCTCCTCTGCAAAATGGGGCTAACCCTACCTCACCAGTGTTGCTGCATGGATTAAATAAAATTGATTCAGAGCCAGTGCTTAATAAACGTTGCCCACTACCTCTGTATTGGTTATCCATGGCTGTGTAACAAGTTGCCCCCACATTTAATGGCTTAGAATCATTATGCTGTACACCTGCAACTGAGGATGTTGTATGTCAGTTATATCTCAGTTTAAAAAATTTAATGGTTAAAAGCAGCCTACATGGAGTATCTCTGGGTTTTGTGTGTCAGGAATCTGGGCGCAGCTTAGGGGGCCTCTAGAATCAGGTGTTGCTGCACAGTGGGTCTGGGGCAGGGTCTGCTTGCAGGCTCCCTTGTGGCTGCTGGCAGGAGGCCGTTGCTGGGGTTCTGCCCAGACGTGCTCAGAGGCCTTTGTGGCTCCTGGCCAGAGCCCCTTGGTCCTCACCGTGTGGTCCCCCACCCACGGTGGCTCCTTCAGCAGAGCCTACAGGTGGGAGGACACATCTCAGCATTTTCTAACCTAACTTTGGGCGTGACAGCCATCGCTTTTGCCACCATTTTTCTATTTTTTAGGAGCAAATCGTTGGGTCCAGGCCACGCACAGGAGGCAGGGATCACTGGGAGCCACTTTAGAAGCTGCCTGCTGCAATGATGACCATTCTTTATCCTTATTTGTTAGGTCTGCAACTGGAGAACAGTGAATATTGAGTGTTTTGTGAAAGCGTTACAGAATACGACAATGAAATCCAGCGTTGGTGCCTGCAGCCTATGCAGGGCACAGATTCTGTGGAACCAGTGGGCCCCCCGCTAGGAAGAGGGGGCCGTGTCTCTGCTGTTTGTCCAGTAATCCGCCTTGCCCAATCACCAGCCCATGTGTGTGTTTTGCTTGTGAGGGAAGGAAGGTGACAAAAGAACGGTTGGTTCCTTTGGCAGGAAGTGAGATTTAAGTAAAACACTGGTTTTAAAAAACTTTTAAACAGTTAAGGTCACACCTTCCAAGACGCGCTAGATAAACTGAAGTTTTTGCTTAGCTGCGCAGAGTTTGTCCATGGGGACAAACTGCTCTCTGGAAAAGCCGAGCAGCGGTGGGGTGGGGGTGGGGGGCTGCTGTAAGAATAACGGAAGTTGGGGGGTGATGGAACCCATCCGTCCCCATTTGGGAAGTGTCTTCCTCCTCCTTCTTCAACGTTTCTGAGGAATGAGGCCGGAGGAGACATGGTGACCTTGAGGACTCCTTTCCGAGCTTGGGTGGGGAGGGCTGGGCCCTGAGGGCCTGGAGTCCCCTGGAACTCCTAGGACATGCTGTGGCCACCAGCAGGAAGGAGAAGCCACCCCCACTCTGGGGCCAGAGCACCGGGGGCTGGGCTGAGAGGCTGCCGAGCTTCAGAGCCCACCAGGTCTGCCCCCTCTGGGATAATGAGCAGCAACTAAATCGAACGACAGTAGAAAGGGACAGTATTTCATGGTCTGACGCTCCAGCCAGCTGTGTGACCTCAAGGAAGCCACGCAGCTTCCTCCTTTTGCAGGGCCAGGAGACTGGACAGGAGGGGCTGCGACGGTCTCACCATCTGAGGAAAGGGAAGGAGCTTCCTTCCACGGTGTCAGGTCCACCAGGAGGAAAGGGGCCCTGGAGAGCCGCCAGCAGCCCGGTCCACCCATCCTTTCTCCTCCTCCACCCAGGATTTCCTGCATCAGACCTTTGTGTTTTCCTGTGGGATGGTCATGACTGCTGTGTGTGGGTGTGTGTCACGGTCTGAACGAGGTCCTGCGCGAAGAGGAAGTCCCCGCGCTGGGTGATTCACGAGAGTGCCCGGCATCCTGCTTGCTCTCCTGTGCGGCCGTGAGCAGGGCCTTCCCCCTGTGGCCAGCGGGGGAACAGCAGCCTGGGAGGAGGCGGCCCCGCTCAGCACGAAGCCACTGGCCACAGGACATGATTTAGGTCGTGCTTTGTAAGAACATTGTCCTTGTGGAGACAAACAAAAGGGAAACTTTGCCTGTTTTTTTTGTCCTGTTATTTCCTCCCTGTCCAATGCAGAAAAGAAAGATGTTGGGAGTTAAATTGTAAAGGGAAAAGAGACACCAAGCATATTTGGCAGAAGAATTAACTGTTAAATCTAAGTTCGAGCAGGCTTGCCGCTCTGACTCCTCAGAAAAGGCATGTTCTAGCCTGAGATACCTGTGGAAGGCAGTGAGCAGAAATGAATCATTTTCAAGATGGCTTTTGAGTTTTTCATCCTCAAGGGTATTTTAAGGGGCGGCCTTGCAGGACCCTTGGGCTCTTTTGAGGATCTGGAGCCAGTTTGGAGCAGAGCCCTCGGGTACAGCAAATGGACAGACTCCTGAATGTGTGCCCTGCAGCCGAGTCCTGACTGCGAGGACACGGTCTGGCTGGAGCCCTGGACGCGAGCGCCCTGGCAGGGGGGCTGTCAGAGGGCGGTTGTCTCAGCTAGGGAGAGGGGGGCCTGGGTGTGAACCGAAAGGACCCCAAGGGAGGCCACAGGGGAACAGCGCCTGGAAGGGAGGGTTCAGGTCCTGGGCTCTGCGTGCTGCAGAGGAACAAGGGTGGCTCGGGCCCAGGGCGGGCTGCTGGCCCCGGGATGTGAGCCCTGCACAGTGCTGTTCTGATGAGTGTCACGAGCCAGTGGCCTGCCCCGGATTTGCTGGAACTGTCCCCTCAACCTGGGAGCGACGGGTGCACGTAACTTGGGTTGTCAGTAGTGTTTCAAATCTCACTTCGTATTTCAGCGTCACCTTTGTCTGAGTTTCAGCTTTTTTTCCTTGATCTTTAGGCTTTTAAAGTTATACTGTTACCGCTAGAGAAGCACGCGTGTTGCTGCTCTTTCCTTCTTGGGCTGAATGTGTCCCGTTTCCCTTTCACGTATCGATCCCAGGGCTCAGTGGTCCCTCGGGGGAGGTGACGAGGACTTCCCTGAGCCCTGCACCTCCTTGCCTTGCCGTGGCTCTCGGAAGGGCAGCGGCTGCGACTTCACCTTGTCCCTCCTCCTTTGACGTGTCCGTTTCCACCACTGTGTTTTTAATTTCTGAGGGGTCAGCCTTGCTTTCTGAATAATCGTTCAAAGCCGCATCCTGCTCTTTTTGTGTGTGTGTAAATGGTTACTTCTTAGCTAAGCATGTCTTTTTAAAAGATTAAAATGCATCTCTGGTTAGTAGGGAGGGTATATAGCTCAGTAGTAGGGCAGGTGCCTATCGTGCATGAGGTCCTGGGTTCAATCCCCAGTCCCTCCTCTAAAAATAATAATAACTTGCTAAAAATTTAAAAATGCATCCTTAAAGCTCTGTTTGCACTGCGGGCTTGTCGGTGGTGCAGACGCGGCTGTGGTTGGGGACCTTCGCGTATCCTGCAGGGTTGTCTTCCCTCCTCCCTAGAGGGGCGCCCTTCCCTCTTCCGCACAGGGCAGGGGTGGGGGTGGGAGTACCACCAGGCTCCTGAGCTGTGTCTGGAGTCCCGAGCCAGCCCTGTTTGAAACAGGTTTCTTAGAGCCTCAGCCTCCCGCGTCCTCCCAGAATATCCCTCTGGTCACGTGCCTGGGGCCCAGGGTAGGATTCTGGTTCCGGGGCTGCCCTCCAGCTCTCGGGCGCCTCGGGAGTCGGGCCTGAGCTTAGTGCTCCTCCAGTGCTCCTCCTTGCAGGGCCTGGGCTCCAGCTTCCCTCTAGACAACTCCCCCCCCCGCCCCTCCTTCCCCTTGTCATCACTCGTCTGCTGCTGTCTCTGCTCCTAACTCTTTGACCTTGGGAGCTCGTGTTTTTTATTCCTTGAACCATTTGACAGGGGTTTTGAAGGGAGTGGAGGAAAAAACGCAGGTGTCCTGTGTCCAGCGTGTAACTGGACGCCCCTCCTCGGCAGCTTTAAACAGTTACTTAACAGAGAAGGCGCTGAGACCTTTATGTAACTGAGCGAAACTGGAGTTTATTCCGCAGCCGTCAGATTCCAGAGGGAAAATGTTAGAAATGCAATAATTAGAATTCATTGGTCTTAACAGCGTGATACCTAGAAAAATGGATTACGTGTGTTCAAAGTGCTGAGGTTTTGAACAGTCAGTTCTGTTTCTACCGAAACAGTGCAGTGCGTAACCCTGCTTCGTAGACCCCTCCAAAAATTTTCCAAGTTTCTGGAAATACATGTAGTGGGAACATGCCATTTCCAGCTTAATTACTGTATACGGATGGGACATGTTTCTAAAACTGATTTTTACCATACTGCGTTTTCTGTGAAAGCAGCATGATTACATTGTCGAAAACGCTGATACGAAATAAAAGAACGTCCCCCCTTCCCCCCACCGGAAATGAGCTCTCGCGTCCTGGGTTCGGTTTGTACTCGCTCGGAAGTGGCTCCCCTGGTCCTCACGGCTGTGTCCTCCTCTTCCAGGACACCGGCGTCGGGAAGTCAAGCATCGTGTGTCGGTTTGTCCAGGATCACTTTGACCACAACATCAGCCCGACCATTGGGTAAGTCCTCGCGGGTTCTTCCTTTCACGGCGCTCGGAGAGGCCAGGTCGTGCCTGAGCCTGCAAGCAGTTCTCATCCCAGCCGATAGAATCAGTCCCCGCTGTAAAGACTGGCAGAAATTCAGGAACTTCTAGGCAGAATGTCCCTGTCACCCCCCCACCCCCCCCCGCCCGCCGCCAACCGTCCCCCTGCCGCAGCCCAGGGTCGCTTCCTTCGTCTCCGTGGCATCATTCTGCGCATCATGCCGGCTTAATTTCCAGATGGAAGACGAGCCCTGGGACAAATCCCTGAAGGCTCTGCTTTAAGACGCCCACCAGGAAACCTGGAAGCGCCTCGGCTGGCGCAGAGCTGTGTGTGCAGCCTGAGGGCGGATTGATTTTCCCTTCCTGCATTAATCGAACATCAGCATCTCCATTCTAATGCGTGGGGGGGGGGTTGCTCACCCCAGACCCCGACCTTGGACCGCAGGAGCACTCTCCTGTTCCGTCTCCCCCTTTGCTACAGATGCCTTCTCCAGATGGGCTTTGCTGTACTGTTTTGCAGGTGCTTGGGTTTTGCTGTCCTAGTACCTGGCCTCACTGATTTCTCTCCCTGAAGACAGCATGCTGTCTGCAGAGAGCAAGTTTGTGTTTCCTCAGCAGGGAAACAATGTGTGTATAAATGTGGGCAACCGGGTAGGATTGATGAGGACAGAGCGATGGTGTCCATCAGCAGTAAGTGGAGAAAATTCACGGGGAGGCGTCGGTGGCTGCTCAGCTGGGTAGGCCAGTGGTTGGAGCTGTGGAGGTGAGAAAATCCAACACGTTTGTAGCTAAAATAATGACTTGAAACGTGTTCACAGAAATATGCTCAAGAAATGAGCGGGGTCTGCAGCCTAACGAGTCTACGGATGCTCGCAGAAGATACTTGAGTCCTGAGTCCGAGGCGGGGGAATCACAGTAGCCAGACGACTGTCACTTTGCACTGGTTCCTGAGCCCCAGTTTCCTGAAGGTGATGTGAGGCAGGTCCTATGGCACCCCACGTACAAATCTTTTACAACGGGCAGTAAGCGTGCCTGTGCTTTGCTCAGAAGACCTTCTCTTTGCTATATTATTGGCTTAACAAACATCCTTGAAAATACTGTCTGGGAAGAAGATGGGCCTCTGCCCGCAAGATGTGCATCACCTCCCAGCGCAGGCACTTCTGTGGGTTGGGGACAAATTCACAGAGGAAATTCTTTTCACTCTCCTCTGTAATGGACTTTTCCCTCCTTAATTTGCCACTTTGTGATTCTTGATAAGAACCCATGAGAGTGGTCGACTCTGAAATGTCATTCTGGAAGTTGGAAGGGAACTTTGTCTACTTTTTGAACTTCAAAAAAAGTTTTAGTAACAACTCTGTATTCCTTTTGTAACGATTAAAAAAAAATCGAAACGTAATGCATGCCCCTGCCATAAATTATGGTAAGTACGTAAGAGTGTTCGTTGTAACCTGTTGCTCATAGGTATTAGCATCATTATGCCTAGAACAGGTTTGTCATTTTGGTCCCAGTCTCTTGTCAAAGCAAGTCAAGATGCCAGCCCAAATGCAAGGGAGGGGAAGCAAGCCCCACTTCATGGTGTGGAAATGCATCGTGGTGGTTTGGGGATTCTTAAAAATAATGTATTATATGGAAACTGCCTATAGTTTTGGCTCAGTTTTTCTGTAAACCTACTCTAAAAAATAGTCTATTGGGTTTAAAAATTATGTATTTTTTCTTTAAATTATAATGCTCATCGTGAAAAGTTCAGACGATACATAAATATATAAAATAAAAAGTGAGGTCAGAGGATTACTAGCTCTCCAGTCCCGTTTCTTCAGTTTCTTTTGCCAGTATTTAGAGTCCAAAGTGCATGTTTCATGTATTTTAAGTGTTTTCTGTGTATAAGCAAGCAAACAAACACATAACTTTCAAAAACAGAAACAGCTTCGTGCTCTGCCTGATATGCCAGAGGACCCCTTCTCCGTCTTGGTAGGTTTTCCTGACTCTTTGCCATGAATACAGATTTCTCGAAAGATGCCATGAACGGAGTATTTTAAGTGCTATCTGTGCATTTCCGTGACAGAGTCCAAGATTAAAGTCTAATTTTTCTGGTTATACAAGTTCAAGTCCACTCTAAAAAACCCTAAAAAGGACAGAATTTATCAGAATAGGAGTCCTGTTTTTTATCCTGTTTCCTGCTTCATCCCTACTTTGAATATTTTCTTAAATCACGTAATCTCCAAAAACATGATCAAAGTATTTTTCTGACTGTAACTTTTACATACTCATCATAAAAAATTGAAAATGAAGAAAACCATGAGGAAAAGTGCAGACATTACCCGTCATCTCTCTCTCTCTAAAGTGCAGGAGGAGCAAAGTTTATGTGCAGTGTCATCAATTTGGGGGATCAAAGTTGCATAGTAATCATTCGGAAGGACGTGTACCAGCGCACTGGCAATGATGGCTGCGCAGTGCTGGAGTTACAGTTGATTTTAATTTCCTTCTTTTCTTTTTTCTGTGAAGTACATATATTGCTTTTATAATGAGAAAAGTAATAAAGACGTTTTCATTTCTGGAATGTATTTGCTCTTTTACCATAGTCTGGGATGTGTGGTTTAAGCACTCGTAAAGAAATGAAGTGTCATGGGCCAGGTGTGGTTTTGAGACTACTGGGTCATGTTGCTTAGAAAAATGCTTGGAGTTTCCGTGTGTGCTCTGGCACGTTGGCAGGTAGAGCTCTAACTGGTGACCCTGGTGTGTGTGCGTGTTGTGGGGACAGTGGGGGAGCCGTGGGGCTTGCTCTCTCCTTGGGACTCTGTGCTTTACCTCTTAGTCTGGGGGAAAGTAGCAGAAATTGAGGAAATAGTCCTGGGCTGTGTGCAGCGTGAGCGCAGGGCTGGACTCTGCACTGAACTCGGAGGGTGGCGGGAACCATGAAAGAGGGGAAGAAGTCTGACACTTCGTCCCTAAAGACTGTAGTTCATGCATGTCGTAAGAGGAAGGTACTGAGGGCACCATCATCGTACCGACACAGCTGATAGGACTCAGTGATAATATCTGACGTAGCGTCTAAATTTAAGTTTCTCCAGTTGTCCTTAGAATGTCTTCTAAAGCTCTTTCCCTCCTAATCCCAGGTCCAGCCAAGGCCCAAGATTGTTTTAAGTCTTTCCTCTCTCTTAATCTAGATCCTAGAACAATCTGCCTGCCTTCTGTTTCGTTTGCTTTTCATGATGTTGATTTATTTCAGGCATTCAGGCCCGTTGCCTTGCAGAATGTGCCCCATTCCAGATTTGCCCGATTGCTTCCTTGTGCTCAAAATCGGGTTAGACGGTCGTGGCCGGAATGCTGCGCGGGTGACCCGTGTTCTGACCCCATCACCTCAGGAGGCTCACTGTGTGTGCTTATCCCACAGCCAGCGATGATTGCTATTTTTTTCTTTTTTTGTGTGTGGTGGGGAGGAGGTAATTAGGTTTGTTTGTTAGTTTACTTATTCTGATGGAGGTGCTGGGGGTGGAACCCAGGACCTCGAGCATGCCAAGCATGTGCTCTACCCCTGAGCTGCGCCCCCCCCCAACGCTTGCTGTATTTAGTGAATGGGAAGCTTTATCTCATGGGGGAAAAATAGTCGAGGGTATTAAATTTCCATTGTATTAGATTTTTTTTCATCTTTCATGAGCACAAAGAAGAGGCTTATTAAGAAGAACTATGCAAGAGAGAAAGCATCAAATGTTCCATTTTCTACTGAGAATTTCAAATCCTTCCTTTTTCACAGAGAAAACAAATACTGTGAAGCTACTGATCTGTGTCCCTGCGCTGATGGAGGGCGGACGGGGCTTAGATGCGGCGCTCCCGCTGCTGGGTTCAGAGCAGCGGGCGTGAGCCGCTGTTCATGGGCTGCAAGGCCCACATGGGGACTCACCCGGGCACCAGCGGCCCTTTGCCCTCTTAACTGTGGTGGTGGTATGTTTTTAAAATCTAAGTTTGTTTGTTTGTTTATTTTTATTTTTTTCTTGGTTTTTAGAAATATTTTAGTTACTTATTATTGTATTATTTATTTTATTTTGGTGGTTGGGGGGGTAGGTTAATTTACTTTTTTTAGAGG